TGTTATAAGGATATGTGTTTCAAATTAACTATTTTTCAATTAATCAAAGACAAATTTAAATCGAAGCAGTCAAAGACACGTGAGAAAGTATATTAGCAGTAACTAGCAGAATATCCGATTTCGCCTTGGGCCCAAATTCGCCAGAGGGCCCAAATTCGATGGCTTTAATCATTCACGGGGTCAGTGATGGTCACATAATTTGGGGAGTGGTGGGCGAACATACAAACCAGTGATTCTCAACCTTTTTTGCCAACGGCACACCTTGAAACACATGCAAAAATAGCGGCACACCTGGCTAAATATATATATGAATAATATTTGAATTTTGCAAAAAAAACCCCCAAAAAAACCATGGCAAGTCATAGACGGCATACAACCGTAGACACAGATCAGTCATAGACACATAGTGAGAAATGTTCTTAGTGTGCCGTTCAAAATTTCACGGCACACTTAGGAAGATCGCGTGGCACACTGGTTGAGAATCACTGATACACACACACACGGACATCTTTGATTTTATTTAAACAGATTACCCAATAATATACTAGTATTGTCCATACATTTTAGTCTCTATTTATATACATCCATATTATATTTCAGGTGTGAATGGTGTATACAGGTCCTATATTAGATATAGCTATAGTTATTATAGATATAGCTATAGTTATAATAGATATAGCTATGGTTCTAGCTATGGTTCTTATAGATATACCTATGGTCTTAGTTCATCGTAAGTGGCTTATTATTTAGGCCTGAAATGTTATCTAAATTATTAATTAGGCATTAATTAACTTTTCCTGACCATAATCAACTATCGATGTCATCGCTAGCCTGCGATATTTACTGGATTAGAGCCCGGTCTGCTGCTACTGATTAAATAAAAAACTGGATAATCGAGACTATGTTTTTTTTATCATACCCACTTTAGTAATGATGATTGAGGCTAGGCCCAAAATTCAATCGCTAAATTCTCGGTTCAGGGTGGATCAATTTGACTGAAATTTTCAGCAAATTCCCTTTACATTATCTTTATCTAGTTCTATTAAAGTGAGATCTGCCAGCTCGTTATCTAATCTCCCATAATGTATCTTTAATGTTCCAAAAGCAAGATAAAGTTATTTACATTAACCACGCCATAGATCATACACCGTTTTTAGGCTATACATATATTCTAAAACAGAATATCTCTATTAATTTTCACGTTGTAAATGAAATGAAATGGGATTTAACGCCATACAGTGTGTTATGAGGGAAATTTTGCCTGGACAGCGGCACTGCGGCCTAGTCTTATATCGAATTCCAACTGTCAAGGGATCTTTTACGGGCACGCCAATGTGTACACGGGACCTCGGTTTTTCGTACCATCCGAACGACTAGACAGCTGTTCTTGTCAGGCCCTCTGTCCTGCATTACTGGCAAGAGGGAACCACGTCGGAAAATCTGGATGGACTTGCTCGGCCAATGTAGGGATCGAACGCCCGACCTCCAGGCTAGCGAGCCAGCGTCTAACCCACTTAGCCACCGTGACGCCCCCCCCCCCCGCTCCTGTCGCCCCCCGCTCCTGCCGCCCCTTTAGAATTGGTTTTTATATCTATATTGTTGATTATTATAGGGCAGGGCTAATTGCTGGAGGTATAATAGGAACAATGGTTCTGGTGGCGGTGATTGTTACACTCGTATGTTGCTGTATGAAATCAAAAGGACAAAGGGGTCGTGTAGTTTCTGGTAATACAGCCACGGTATCGTACATTAACCCACCCCGCAATAACACAGTAGCCTACAGTAATCCCACAGGTAATTTATTGCCCATATATCAATTCACAATGTCAAGCAATCGAGAGGTACTTTAGCTAGCAGCTGTTAGGAGGTAAAAGTGGACATTAATCTCCAGAAACGAACAAAAGGAGGTGTTCCGGAGTTAACTTTTAATCGGTAGCATCCTTTCATAAGGGATCGTTTACGTGCACGCCAATGTGTACACGTGACCTCGGTTTTTCGTCCCATCCGAACAACTAAAAAAGCTGTCCTCGTCCTGCATCAGTCACAAGGGGGAACGAAACCGGAAAATCAGGATGAACTTTCTCGGCTAATGCAGGGGTAGAACACCCGACCTCCAGGCTAGCGAGCCACCGTCTTGCCCACTTAGCCATCGTGACCCTCCTATAATAACTATATGTTAAACTCAAACATATAGTAATATTAGTTGATCTAAGTTGATCCGTGATCCCATCGTTCTAAACATTGAACTATGGGCATGTGGTACTATAAATTGAACTATGAATATGTAGCACCACCAGCTGAACAATATGAGCATAAATATCACCATACATTGTAATCTATGTTTCATGTCTTCTTCTGTTACAGTTTCGTATTCGAATCAACCCCCGCCACCTTACACGTACGCTAATCCAACCTATCCTCCTCAACAAGCAGCTTACCCACCTCAGCCCAATCCAGCTTATCCACCACCGCCTTCTAACTCAGCTAATCCACCTACGTTTGATTCAGCTTATCCACCACAACCTACTCCGAACACTCCTTTTTCACCACAAACCTTGCCCAACCAACCAGATGACCCACAACCTCAATCTGGACCATACAATCCACCCCTCCCCAACTCTCCATTTTCTTCCTCTTCTCAAGAACCCAGTGCCCCAGAAAAGAAAGCCCTATGATTTGTTTGTTATTTTTTGTATTGAAAAACTCCTTTAATTTAAATCTATAGTATGTATTAGTCTGCATGAAATTTAGAATAAGAGTTTGAGCATAGTTTTATCCAATACCCCGTACATCAAGCATTACACGTAAACGCACAATTAACCCAGTATTTTCAAATATCCAGTCTGATCGTGAGCAATCTGATTACAATATAGATCTATATTTCGTTTCGTTTTGTTTTTTTGCTACTTTCGATGGCCTACACTACATGAAGATCGGACAAGTTATAGTGGGAGTTCGCGTCAGGGGTCAAACGAGCGGCCTTTGACCCTATCACGTCAGATATTGATTAATCAATCAGCATTGACGTTTCTAGTGATTTACCCACAGTTCCGTGCAGCAAAAGCCCACGAGCTCCCCGTAACAGACCGTTTCATTGGTTAATCCGTCACGATAACAACTCTTCCAGATCCTAGTGTAGTAAAGACAAGTAAAACGAAATTTTGAACTATAAAAACGAAACGAAATAGGATCTGTGTTTTAATCAGATTGGAACACGAGCAGAGGAAACATTACTTGAATTTGTTGTTATTCAATATTGTTTAAAAAATAATGCAAGTAATTATGTCAACATATCCTTTATTAACGTTGACATGTATCTGTTGCAGATAATATTGTCATATGTTGACATAATTACTTGCATTATTTTAAAAAATTATGAATGGTTTCCGGTGACCTTTAAAGTAATGAAATACAAAGTTTAAATCTTCATGAAGATAGATGTATATGTAAAATAACACATTTTAATAATTATAGCAGAAATTATTTTTTATATGAAATACAGAAATAGCGTTTCGATATAGACTTCTATCTAGATCATTCAACAATTTTATGTTTTATAAATTAATATTATTACGGTTTCGGTCTTTTGGGACAGTTTGTTTTCTTCTGTCTGCAATTTCATATACACATGTACCTAGGGCTACATTAGGAAATGAAATGAAATGAAATGGGGTTTAACGTCCTACTGTTCTGCTCCGAACTGGGCTAATGAAGATGGACATACGCCATACAGTGTGCTATGAGGGAAATTTTGCCCGGGCAGCGGCACTATGGCTTACTCATATCGAATTCCAACTGCCAAGGGATCTATTACGTGCACGCCAATGTATACACGGGACCTCGGTCGAGTGTAAAATTACAGCTTGTTCATTTCGACTTTTTTCTGTAACGTGTGGGTTGTTTGCTTGCCTATCAAGCCCACATAGTTGTACTAATCAGTTTTAACATTCAGTAATGTAGACAGTTCGTTAAAATGTGGTTATGATAAAATGAAATGAAATGAAATGGAGTTTAACGTCCTACTGTTCTGCTCCGAACTGGGCTAATGAAGATGGACATACGCCATACAGTGTGCTATGAGGGAAACTTTGCTCGGACATCGGCACTACGGCCAACTCTAATATCGAATTCCAACTGTCAAGGGATGTATTACGTGCACGCCAATGTATACACGGGACCTCTGTTCATGTCAGGACCTCCGTCCTGCATCACTGACAAGGGGAAACCATGGTTATGATAAAGTGACGTGTTTTTCTAAACTGTATTCCGTCTATTAACTGTGATATTATTTCATCCAACAACTATTAGTATTTTTTAAATATTTGTTACTATACTTTGTTTCAGTGGCAGACTGGCCATGTTGTCAGCTTGCCCAATGGCAAAATCGGGAAAATTCTAATTACATCTTTTTGTTTACACTTACATATTTTTTGAAAATTTAATTGATTCATTTTAAAAATTAAATGATAGAATTATATTGGTCGGTGGGCCCACTTTGTCTCCTGGCAACCAATATTTTCAAACCCAGTCTGCCACTGCATTGTTTTATAAATTATTAAATTGTTAATTAAATTTACCTAGCCAACAATTATTGTTGTATTTGATCGATTTCCTGTAATTTGTTAATATTTGTTATGTTTTATCTATTAGTGCTTTGGAACAAATCAAATTTTAATTAAAATAAATTTAAAGTTTAAAGTAATAAAAATCTTTCAAACAGAATGAACCAGTTTTATTCACCAATATATATCTGAGACTATAGCTTTAATGGTATCTTAAACTTTGCATTAATTGCCTCATACACACAGCATTACAAAAGATAGCTTTCACGTCAAGCAACGAAACTAAGCAGTCAAGTCGATCGGCAGTCCATGCATCGTATTGTGATTATTTAAGCAAATAAAAAGTAAAACAATAAATAGCATCTCCGGCTGTCCTGGCAGGTTTTTTCTCTCAGTAGGATAACCATAGAATTACAGTTTGAGGGTGTTGATCCTAAATATTAAAATATACGTAAAAGTAGCAATGGTCCATTAATTAGCTTAATCAATCCCAAGATTATTCCCCACTCATTGTTCCTAAATTATACCCACATACAACAGACCTATACACATTTATTTTTATTTTTTTGCTTTTCTAAGGTTTTTAGGTTCTGCCTATGAGCGTAAAAATGTGTAAAAGGAACAATTCTGTCCGAACCAGTAACGTCGTATGTAAACAATGCACGCGTCATTGAGCCAATGATTGACGCCGTGTGCTGTGACGGCACGTATTGAAGACAGTCATCTTTTACAGAGATATTAGAATACTTTCGTAATCCTCTGTGAAACAGATTACAGTGTTACTATGTAACTATGTATAAATTGATGTATATTGTCCATGTCTATACAATGACATTTTTCTAAAGACCTCCCAGGTTACCTAAAAGTACTTTAAAAATCAAACCAGTGTTGAACTCAGTTTGTGCCGGCATACCATTTATCTGTTCGTCGTTTTCCGTGAAACAAAGTAGTGCAGCGTTACGGTTTCTCCGATGTAAAAGTGCTGACAACCATTAAAAGTCAAGGAATTTGAGTGTTGGATAACGTTACGCACTACTTTTAACATGTAGTGCAAGAATAAACCCAGAATATGCAATTGTGGATGGATATGCCGCTTTACATATATACATTACTCTATCATCCAGACTTGTACGTTGAAGACTTTGGGTATCTGGGTAACCGAGACTAGTTAAAGCCCTATTAGAAATCTATATTCTATTGAACTGTATTTCGCAATGCTTTTATCGTCATGGGTAACGTATACAACAACAGCTGAGAAGATGAATGATAACTTATTTTTCTTATGCAATGAAATCGTGCCCTCAATATAAATAACAACGTTCTATTTGATGTGGAGATTAGTCAATGAAATGCTCTGTTTAGTCTAGCGCTTTGCGCAAGCTGTGTACGGATTTCTGGACGTCACCGATGACAAAGCCGAAAACAAAACGAAATGTAAATAGTTAACGTCATTCTGTCTTAGTTCTTATTTTAAAAAAATTACGCCTGCTCTGAACACTCACAAGAAACGACTTAGATTTGCAGCTGTAATTTTAGATTTGCATGTGTAATTTTAATCCAGGACTATTCTATATACACACTGGGTGTTGGCTTAGATCATATTACTTACAATACCCGTAGACAATATAATACCAAGTATAGTTTGAATTAAAGAAGAGTGTACGGTAAAGGTGTATTGACGTGAATAGTAAAATTCAATAAAATGATACAGGATATTATAGCAGTGTTATCCTTATTTTTGACTGAAGGTATGTCAGATTATATGCAAGTTTTCTTCTAATATTTCATGAATTGTTTTCTAAAATTTCATGAAATAAATGTCAATCGCACTAATTTCTGCTAGCCAGAACTCCTCGCTTATTAATATATTTAATTTTTGAAACGATATCCCCATACCGGGTTAAAAAATGACCAGAAAACAATTTCCTTGCAAAACCCTGGCTTCCCACGCCCAATTCCATTTCCAAATAATAGACATTGGTCAAATCGGCGCAAAAGGTGAAAATTAAACATACATTATGCAAGAGCTAAACCTGCCTATTGCATGTCTTTCTTTAGGCCTGAAATGTTATCTAAATATCTAAATTATTAATTAGACATTAATTTGCTTATCCAGACCATATTCAACTCTCGATGTCATCACTAGCCTGCGATATTTACTGGATTAGGATCCGATTTGCTGCTCAACTTTCATTCATGATTTAATCATGAAATGGATAATCAAGACTATATTTTCTTTTATCGTACCGATTTTGATAACGATGATCTTGTTTTTCCTATTATAGTGAGAACTACATCTCTTTATCTAATCTCTCATAATGTATCTTTAATGTTTAGGGAAAATAAATATGTCATATTAAATCCGCCATTACCGGTTAATTAGTTTCTGTGTTTGTGTACAGACATTGGTCACATGTCTGTTTTAATTAACAGCTTGAAATGTGAAAGGGGTGGGCATAATGAATAAGACAAATAATGTATAATGTGTACTTCCCATCACCCTATGCGTCTTTAACAGAGAGAGAGAGAGAGAGAAAGAGAGAGAGAGAGAGTAACGCCCACTCGACACAAACTAGGTCATTTCGGGACTAACACATGGTTTTAATTTTATTTCAATAATTCGCTTGCGCGTATGGGTCTAGGCAGTGGGAGGAAACCGGAGAAAACCCACGAGGTTGGACAGGCGATCCTGGCCTTTAACAATCACTAAACAATCCAGACACCAATTAGTTCTAACCAGCGAATCCCACTATTTTATGCTGTGAGTCTCTACATTACAAACTCACAACAACTGCACGCAGTGATGGATTAAACTGGTTAGAACTAATTATTAAGACCACCTGCAGAATTAGAAATGGGGGTTTAACGTCCTACTATTCTTCTCAAAACCGGGGAAATGAAGACGGGCATACGCCATACACTGTGCTACGAAGGAAATTTTGCCTGGACAGCGGCCTACTCTTATATCGAATTCCAACTGTCAAGGTATCTTTTACGTGCACGCCAATGTGTACACAGACCTCGCTTTTTCGACCCATCCGAACTGCATCACTGATAAGGGGGACCCACGCCGGAAAATCTGGATGAACTTTTTCGGCCAATGCAGGCATCGAACACCTAACCTCCAGGCTAGCAAGCCATCGTCTTACCCCCTTCGCTATCGTGACCCTCCCTCAAGTGGCCTTAATAATTAGATCTAGCCGGATCAAACTCTGTATTTAAATCAATAAGCGGTATATTTTTTAAATGCTAGTCATCGCACTAAAACTACCTGTAATAAGTTATTTATAGACAGAACTTGAACTATATTTATAATAATTAATAATTAATGTAAGTATAAAGCTGCGTGCATTGAGGTAAGCTTATTGGCACACATGCAGGACGGAGGGGCTGACAAGGAAAGCTGTCTAGTCGTTCGGATGGGACGAAAAACCGAGGTCCCGTGTACACATTGGCGTGCACGTAAAAGATCCCTTGGCAGTTGGAATTCGATATAAGAGTAGGCCGTAGTGCCGCTGTCCGGGCAAATTTTCCCTCATAGCACACTGTATGGCGTATGCCCGTCTTCATTAGCCCAGGTTAGGAGCAGAACAGTAGGACGTTAAACTCCATTTCATTTCATTTCATTTCATTTCATTTATTGGCACACGTGTTACAATGTTAAAGGGGGGTAACTATATTATTACAAGATGGTGGCAGACCACCATTAATTTACCCATTAATTTTAATGTTAATCCTGGTCTCTTTGCTCTGCTCCAACCTGTTCCCAATCTGATTAAAACACATATCCTATTTCGTTTCGTTTTTTATAGTTCAAATTTCCGTTTTACTTGTCTTTACTACACTAGGATCTGGAAGAGTTGTTATATAACTCGCATCCTGGATGATGTGAGGTATTAGCTAACGAGAGAGAGAGACAGAGAGAGACAGAGGGGGAGGGGGTAACGTTTACTCGACACAGACTAGGTCATTTCGGGACTTGCATATTGTTCAATTTTGTTTCAATAATTCGCTCGCGCGTAGGGGTCCTTAGCAGTGGGATGAAACCGGAGGACCCGGATAAAATCCAGGTGGTTGGACAGGCGACCCTACTCCTTGTCGCGTACAACCGGGGAATCGAAATCACGCCAGTTGAATCAGTGACAGACCCTATGATACAGACCTTTTTTTATTATAATCATTCGTTTGCGCGTAGGAGTCTTAAGCAAAAGGCAGGAAACCGGGAGACCCGGAGAAAATTCACGAGGTTGGGCAGACAACCCTACTCCTTGTCACGTACAACCGGGGAATCAAAATCACGCCAGTTGAATCAGTGACGGACCTTATGATACAGCGCGCACGTGCTAACCATTCGGCCACTCCCACCCCACCCCCGATATATAAAGGTTGCACTTACACCTGACTCGACATTATGCCTTTTCTTACTGTTTTACTATGTTTATATATTCCAGGTGTGAATGGTGCATATAGAACAAGTTATTATAGATACAGGTATCGTTATACCTTTTCTAGCAGCGGCAGCAGCAGCGAAGGAGATCAAGAGTACGTAGCCTAGCATTTTGTTCTTGGCCAATCTGATTAAAACACATATCATATTTCGTTTCGTTTTTATATTTCAAAAATTCGTTTTACTTGAGTTTACTACACTAGGATCTGGGGGAGTTGTTGTCATTGATATGTTCTGTGTGATGTAAGGAATTAGCCAATGAAACGGTCTGTTACGGCGAGTTCATGGCCTTTTGATGCACGGAACTGTGGGTAAACGACTAGAAACGTCAACGCTGATTGATTAATCAATGTCTGACGTCATAGGGTCAAAAGCCACGCGTTTGACCCCTGACGTGAACTCCTACTATAACTTGTCAGATCTTCATGTAGTGTAGGCCATCGAAAGTATAAAGAAACGAAACGAAATACAGATCTGTATTTTAATCAAATTTAATCTGATTAAAATACAGATTTATATTTCGTTTCGTTTTTTATACTTTAGATGGCCTCTACTGAAGATCTGACCAGTTGTAGTGTGAGGTTGCGTCAAAGGTCATACCAGAGGCTTTTGACCTATGACGTCAGACATTGATTAATCAATCAGCGTTGGCGTTCCTATTGGTTTAACCACAGTTCCGTGCATAACTTTCCTTTATGACTTAATCCCGAAATGGATAATCGAGACTATGCTTTTTATCGTACCGACTTTAGTAATGACGATCGAGGCTAGGCGGAAATTTCAATCACCTGATTCTCGGTTCATAGTGGAATAATTTGACTGAAATTTTCAGCAAATTGCCTTTACATTATCTAGTTTTTAACTATTATAGTGAGAACTGCCAACTCTGTATCTAATCTCCCATAATGTATCTTTTAATATGTGCATATTTGTCATTTGTTTTGTTTTTGTCACTGCGATCACAATCAGTCAGAATCTAAAGAACTGGTTGGGGAAAACTAAAAAGTCGTTTGACATTTGTGTATTTAATTCTTGTAGAACTGGGATGATTGTTGGACTCATACTACTTAGTCTGTTGGTGATAGGGGGAATCATTCTACTTATATGGTGCTGTAAAAATTCCAAAATAAAATCTGGTCGTGTAATGTCTACTAATACAACCACTGTGTCTTATATTAACCCACCACAGCATACTACAGGTAATTAACTCAGGGGCGTATCCAGGAAGTTTTGTCGGATGGGGTTTGTCAGGCACCTGTTAAGGAAGTTTGACATCATCGTCTCTAAATTCCGTAGGCATACATACACAATGAGCTTATTAAAGACGGAAATCCAACACCCCGTTTGACGTCAATTTTTATAATGAATTAATAGGTTCATATTGTGATTCAATTTCATTGATGCAAAGCATTAATTGTGATATCACACGTGTCTATATCATTATTTCGCCCTTTGAATGCCAATCCCATCCCACCATCTGATCATAAAGGATAAAGCACACGACCGTTACACTTTTCTCATAAAATGTTGTTTTACAATTTTTTTATGTAGCTGATCGGGGTGGGGTTTGGATCCCCTCCCCCTCCCACCGGAACCGCCCCTGTAACTTTTTTTTTTAATTAAACGCCGATCACTAGATAAACGATACCTGTAGCCGAATAATTCCGAGGTTATCTATTATTCAGGAGTGTCTCTTCATTAGTATTGACCGCGTGTGTTTTCTCCGGGTCCTCCGGTTTCCTCCCACTGCTAAAGACCCCTTATTGAAATATTGAAATACAATTGAACCATGTGTTAGTCCCGAAATGATCTAGTTGGTGTCGAATGGACGTTAAACCTCATCTGCCCGAGCAGCGGCACCATGGCCTACTCTTATATCGAATTCCAACTGCCAAGGGATCTTTTACGTCCATGCCAATGTAAACACGGAGTCTCGGTTTTTCGTCCCATCCGAACGACTACGAATATAGTAGGCCTACTACAAGTTGAACTTTGGTTATATATAAATGGGGTTTAACGTCTACTCGACACAAGCTAGGTCATTTTGGGACTAACAATGGTTCAATATATAGTATTATAAGTTGTAATCTATGTTTGATCTCCTCTTCTTTACAGTATCACATGTCAATCAACCTAAATCACCTCACCTATTCGATAATTCAACTAGTTATCAACCAGCAATGTACCCGCCTCCGCCGTATTCAGCTTATCCGCCGCCTTCTAGCGAAACCTATCCACCTGTGTATGGCGCAGCTTATCCACGTACCCCTGATCCACAAAACCAGAAGGAGTGAACCATGTTGCTATTTGAAAGGCTAATTCAGTGATAACATATTGGGCTGGGGACCAAATTTATTTATTTCTTCGGCCATGTTATATTTAGAGCACGGCTTTCGTGAGTTAACAGGTTTAACAACAGGGGCCGTAGACCGAGGTGTTAAACCTGTTAACGAATGAAGCGTGCTATAAATGACTTGTAACATTGACACCTGCTCAACATGCTTGTTGTTATTGCACAGAAAACCCACCCCACTTCTCTATATGATTTCTACTAAAAGTAGCGTAAAGCAAAAGTGTACAAAAACACTGAAAATGTCTAGTTATTGCACGGTTAAGCTCCAGCCATTCTACTAGAGGGAAAACAATCTGCTTATTCAACGAAGAGAACAAAGGAAGATTTGCCGTCCATGTTACAATTCACATTATTTGTAACTGTACTTTGTATGATTTAATCAAATATTTATAAATTTGTTATGTCGAAAGAGTTAACTATTTTGTTACTAATGTGTACATTTTGTTATTGTTTGTTATGGTTTAACTATTGGTAATACCTTTTGCCAGTTGTCTATATATTAAAGTTGCAATTTCATATTTTTAAGTTATATTTTTAAAATTTATTAAAATAAAGCCTTAAAATAGATGGTATCTATAAACAGTCCTACCTTGTTAAAGAGTAATCCTATTAATCCTATATTTCACTATTGCCAGTTGATAAATTGGCAAAAATATCATTTTTATCTTCAAATTCAAACGTTTGAAAATAGCTACTCCATGGTGGAGAACAGAAAACAAGGGAGGTAATTGTGTTATTATTTCCGATGTAAATGAGTTTTAAGTGTGAGAATGACACATATGGTAGTATAATAGTGAGTTGACAACCCATTGAGCAAAAGACATAGAAATAATTATGTTTTGACTTTCTTAGAAAATATGAAATTGTAACTTTAAGTGCAGGGGGACTGCACCACACATAATTTACACAAAAACAAATCTACGGACAAGACACAATACGCAGAAATCATAAACAAACGAAAATATCAAATTAAGTGAATGGACCTGGGGGCTAGTCGTAAGCGTCCACTACGTTGTACAGTCCCGGGCCTGTAGTGATACAGACTTCACTCAAAATTGAAAACAATCAGGAATAAAACCCAGAGAAACCATTGTGTAATGCCAGCATGAGTCATGATTTGCTATATGTTACAAGAAATATGAATGTAAGCATATTGAAGTAAAAATTACCTATACAAGTAACCATATCGGTGAAATGTATAAAAAAAAAAAAACCCAAAAACCCCCCAGGTAGTCTAAAAACGAAACGGTAGTGCCAATCCGATTAAAATACAGATCTATATTTCGTTTCGGGTTTTTTTATACTTTCGATGGCCTGCACTACATGAAGATCTGACCGGTTGTAGTTGAAGGTCGCGTCAGAGGTCATACAAACGGCTTTTGACCCTATGACGTTAGACATGTGATTAACTTATCAGCGTTGTTGTTTCTAGTGGGTTACCCACAGTTCTGTGCACCTCACGCCAAAAACTTGCTGAAACAGTCCGTTTCATTGGCTAATCCCACACATCATCCAGAACGTGGGTTATGTTACAACTCTTCCAGATCCTAGTGTAGTAAAGACAAGTAAAACGAAATTTTGAAGTATAAAAAACGAAACGAAATAGGATCGGTGTTTTAATGAGATTGAGTAAGTGCGGAAAAATCGCACTATACGCAAATAAAACCCATTAGACAAACATGCAGACAATGGGATACACAAATGACACAGACATTGCTGGCAATAAACAACAACCGTTTATATCAAACCAAGTGGGGGTCATAGTGGCTAAGCGGGTAAGACGCTGGCTCGCTAGCCTTGGCCCATTGGCGTTCACGTAAAAGATCCCTTGACAGTTAGAATTCGATGTAATAGTAGGCCGTAGTGCCGCTGTCCTGGCAAAATTTCTCTCACATCACACTGTATGCCTTATGACCGTCTTCATTAGCCCAGTTCGGAGCAAAACAGTAGAACGTTAAACCCCATTTCATTTTCTAAAAGGATCGGAGACGAGTTTCTGTAACAATAAGCGTATGACATGTGGTACGTAAAGGTCTAGTTCAATATTTCTCAAAAACCTCCAAACCTCCCAAAATACTGTCACAAAACAGGGCCATAGTTTTCTGAATCTTCCTTTAACTAATATCACATAAGACAAAGGAAATATTCAGAAACTTTAGACTATCTAAATCGTCCCACGTGTACAGTTACTGTTTATGATGATACATACATTAAACATACATTATGCTAGAGCTAAATCTGCCTATTGCAGGTCTTTCTTTAGGCCTGAAATGTTATCTAAATTATTAATTAGACTTTAATTAACTTATCCAGACCATAATCAACTCTTGATGTCATCGCTAGCCTGCGATATTTACTGGATTCGAATCCGATTTGCTACTCAACGCTCATTGATGATTTAATGCAAAAATGGATAATCGAGACTATGTACCGGCTTTAGTAATGATGATCTAGGCTAGGTCTAAAATCCATAGGCTAAAATCTCGGTTCAGAGTGGATCAATTTGACTGAAATTGTCAGCAAATTTCCTTTACATTATCTAGTTTTTAACTATTTTAGTGCGAACTACCAGTTCTTTATCTAATCTCACATAATGGCCCTTTAATCAACATTCCATAATACTTCAAACTTACGAAATCACAACAGCTACAACAGCTGAAATCACAACAGCTACAACAGCTGAAATCACAACAGCTGAAATGCACGAAAACCACTAAAAATCTGAGCGAATCGCATGATTGAACTTAAATGTATGACGTGGGTATATTCAACAATTCACTTTTCTTAAGCATTTCAGGGTCACTCCTCCATCTTGTGAAATTAGACTTCATCACCTAAAATATCCCTAAACAAAAGAACTGTAAAACTACAACAGGTAAAGGATGGTAAGAGTTTGAATGAAAGTGTAAATGGGCACACCCAGCATCGATAAGATGAATAAAATAATGAATGGGGTGTGTCGTAATATAATTATACTGATAAGTAAGGTAAATAGAAATAACCAGGATATCATTTATAAACTGTTATCAGTGTTGACATGAACCAATCTGATTAAAACACAGATCCTATTTTGTTTCGTTTTTTTTTATAGTTCGAAATTTATTTTTACTTGTCTTCACAATACTAGGATTTGGAAGAGTTGTTTTATAAAATGGTCTGTAACGGTGAGTTCTTGGCGTGCGATGCACGGAGCTGTGGGTAAACCACAAGAAACGTCAACGCTGATTGATTAATCAATGTCTGACGTCATAGGTCAAAAGCCGCTGATACGACCCTGACGCGACCTTCCACTAGAATCGTCAGATCTTCGTGTAGTAGTGGCCATCGAAACTATAAAAAACCGAAACGAAATATAGATCTGTATTTTAATCAAATTGGACGTAAACGTAACACACCTGAAATAACACTCCTTTAGTTTATACAACATTGCTCAATATACATGTTTATTTGATTAGCATGATAACGTCAATTTTCCTAGAAATTAGAGTTAATGGAAATCCGGTAAGAGTAGGATTTTTAATTAATTTATACTAATTATAACAACAGTACTCACAATATTTTAGTTTCAATAATAACAGTATTTAAAAACACAGACAACATACACAAAACTATAGTAGTAAACATTATAAAGACACTTGGATTAAACAAGCGTTCATTCGTTTCTGAGGTTTTACGTCCACTTCCACCAAGGGCGATAAAACAAACTCTGGACATGCGCTTTAATAGTATAAGTGCTGGGTAGACGTGCCAAGCATAAGGGGATTGAGTCCAGAGTGTCGCTCTAGCAGGCCGGTCACCTCTGGCTTGCGGTTGGGGTTTCGATGCCTGGTGTGAGCTTGGAGATAGAAGCGCCTTCTCAACCTAGTGGTTTTACTCCGACTACTCCGTTCTCCTCACACAGGAAAGACGCGCTAAGATAATAAAAAAAAAAGTGGAGTTTAATAGCCACTGGACACAAACTAGGTCATTTCGGGACTAACACATAGTTCAATTATATTTCATTAATTCGCTTAATTGTTCGTTGGGGTCCTTAGCAGAGGGGGGAACCGGAGGGACCCGGCGAAAACACAAGAGGTTGGACAGGTGACCCTACTCCTTGAATCAAAACCACGCCACTTAACTCAATGACAGGCAACCCACAAATAGATAAAAAGATGGCATTTCCACAAACATTGTATTATTCTAGTGTGATTCATAATCGGCTGTGTATTGGTTTTGTTCATCAAATTAGCTAGATAATAGTCAAATTTCATTGACGTCACCGTACTTATTTCTTTATCACGGTCAAGGGTCAGTATGCTTGTCGACGATATCACGTTGGTGGAAGCGGACGTAAAAAAAGCTATTTCACATACAGGGTCAGTATGTGTCGCAATCCTAACGCTTATCGCAGTATTACCAAATATGCAATTTGATTGGTAATTGTCGTGTATCTTAGGCTTGAAATATTTCGACACTTATTTTCTATCATAAGATAAATACACTAGGCCAGTCATACACGAATCAGTGAAATATTATAAGTTATAAAAGGGATATCCAGAAAATAGCCTTTACAAGGACAATTCTATAAAATGTTTTGGGAAATAATAGTTATATTAGCTTCAATACTTATAGAAGGTAAATATATTTAAATCTTTGTGTATACAACCACCTGCAGATTGCGACACCAAAGTAGAAGGAAGTCTGCTGAAACCAATCAACGAATTGGTCGAAAGTAACCGTTTATTCTTAACACTCTCCACGTTCAGACAACCCGTCCCAAAATAATTTTGAGAATTCGTGACATATGTTAATATTTTTACTTAAAGATATATTATGGGAGATTAGATAAAGAGCTAGTAGTTTTCACTATAATAGTTAAAAGCTAGCTAATGTAAAGGCAATTTGTTGAAAATTTCAGACATGTAGACATGCGGCCTAATTTAGTATACAGTTCCCAATGACATGGACTGAAATATATTATATTGCTTGTTATTCTGAAATTGAACAAACCGATAATGAAATGAAATGAAATGAAATGGGGTTTAACGTCCTACTGTTCTGCTCCTATGCTGGGCTAATGAAGACGGGCATACGCCATACAGTGTGCTATGAGGGAAATTTTGCCCGGGCAGCGGCACAATCGCCTACTCTTATCGAATTCCAACTGCCAAGGGATCTTTTACGTGCATTCCAATGTATACACGGGACCTCGGTTTTTCGTCTCATCCGAAGGACTAGACAGCTGTCCTTGTCGGGCCCTAAACCGATAATAATCTTAGAAAATTGGTGACAAAAGGGAAATAAAATGGGGTTTAACGTCCTACTGTTCTGCTCCTATGCATGGGCTAATGAAGACGGGCATACGCCATACAGTGTGCTATGAGGGAAATTTTGCCCGGACAGCGACACTATGGCCTACTCTTATATCGAATTCCAAATGTCAAGGGATCTTTTACGTGCAGGCCAATGTGTACACGGGACCATGGTTTATCGTCCCATCCGAACGACTAGACAGCTGAAGGTGACAAAAAGAATTTGAAAACTATTTTAGGTGTGTTTGGTGGCATAAGATTTACTAGATTTACTAGATATACAAGATATACAAGATATACGGGATATTATTATACAACATATTACTATGGTTACAGATCGAGTTATTATTCCCCGTAAGTATATTCACTTTGGATTATGATTAAAAAAGATGAAACGAAATTTAGGTAAGCATGGTGCGAAAAAATTGGGATTTTTGAAAGAATTTGATTGTAAATTAGTGTAATTTAGCTAGGCAAAGCAATAAATCACTGAAGATTCTCAACTTTTCAAAGATTTCATTTTTTTTTTCTCCCAGGCTTACCTAAATTTCGTTTCATCTTATATGGCCGAGTTCTTAAATTTGTGCGTTACCATTTCAATGATGTCCGCCAAGTCAGTTAGAAGACGGAGACGTATTTTTTAACAGCGTGTTGTGTCGCTCATACTGACTCTAGCCAGGTAAGCAAGGTCTTATTTTCTCCCTAAGATGTTCATTCATATTGTTCAGGCGTTCACAGGGACTGACACGCGACCAGTTAGCGGTAAAAAGTTGCCCAGTAAAATTGACTGGGAAGCGATTAGATTTTCGACAAGGATTCAATAGTACAGTCCCTGAACGTAGAGGTCGAGTGTAATGAGACCTACGTTCAGAGCTGAACTAGTTCTGCATAGGCTCTAAAGGCAGCGTATTAAAAAATTAACATTAAATGCTACATCAACTTCACGCTATTGCTTGGGACTATTCATTCACTATCTAGGTCTATATCGGCATCAAAGTCATCATGAATGTCATCTTCTTCGTCATCCTGTTCGTGCTGTGTGTGTGGATTTTCATAATTCGCCGATGCCAGACATCCACAGAACATAGTGCAACCAAGATTTGCGTTTGTACAACAACATCGCTTCGTTTTGCAAGGCGTTTCACTGGCACAACCACAACTCATTACCTGTAGCACAGCGTCTGGAGCAAGTTTTACAGAATAGATGACAGGTTCTAAGGTCTTGTTAAGTTCGTCTCTTGTCCAACCGGAAAGACAGGGATCAAGATCTGGAGCGTTCCACTAGAAATATCAACACTGATTGGTTAATCAAAGCCGCACTATGACCTCTGACGCGACCTCAAGTTACAACTGGTCAGTTCTTTATGTAGTATAGGTTTTCGAAAGACTTACAAAAAAAAACGAAATAAAGATCTGTATTTTGATCGGATTGCCACATTCTAAGTGACGAGTAATTTATGCTTTAAGAAAAAAACATAATGGCAACTTTGAGACCTCTGTGAGCCATAATTTTTTTTTTTAAAATGAGTTTTAATTGTTTACAGGTCTGCTGGTGTAATTACTGGTGCTATTATTGGCAGTATATCTCTGGTTGTGATAGTGGTCGTCATAATAATAGTATGTTGTCGTGCTGCATCCAGGGGAAGAATGGGTACTGTGATCACAACAACTACAACACCCACAGTCAGTTACATTAATACTGAAGGTATGTATGTACAGGGTTATACTATATACCGGAAAACACCGGAAAACAACCGGAAAACTACATTTAGCGATTTAGCACTTTAAAAAAAAAAAACACAACACAAATTATATGGAAAAATACTCACTGGTTTGTACACATATAGCATGACGTTTTGACAATTATTCTCTTATCATTTTCGAGCACAAATGATAACGAAATGAAATGAAATGAAATGGGGTTTAACGTCCTACTCTTCTGCACCTAACCTCGGCTAATTGAAGACGGGCATACGCCATACAGTGTGCTATGAGGGAAATTTTGCGCGGGCAGCGGCGCTACGACCTACTCTTATATCGAATTCCAACTGCCAAGGGAACTTTTACGTGCACGCCAATGTGTACACGGGACCTCGGTTTTTCGTCCCATCCGAACGACTAGGCAGCTGTCCTTGTCAGGCCACAAATGATAAAACGTTGTGCTATATATGTGTACAAACCAGTGGGTGTTTTTCCATATAAATTGTGGTGGGGCGGGGGTGGTGTTTAATACTGAAGTTATGTATGTACACTGATATCAAAATTTGGTCTCTCATCATAAACTTGGTTCTATGTTAACCTAGGGGGGTTGGATGGCCGAATGGTTAGCACGTGCGCGAGGTATCCTAAGGTCTGTAATTGAGTCAACTGGCGTGGCTTCGATGACCGATCCCCCGGTTGTACCTAACAAGAAGTAGTGTCGCCTGTCCAACCTCATGGGTTTTCTACGGGTCCTCTGGTTACCCCCCACTGATGAAGACCCGTCTCGCAAGCGAATTATTGAAATAAAATTGAACCATATGGTAGTCCAGAAATGACCTAGTTTGTATCGAATGGACGTTACCCTCTCTCTCTCTCTCTCTCTCACTCTCTCTCTCTCTCTCTCTCTCTTTCACTGTTAACCTTTAAGTCAAATCAAGTCAGTGGCGTAAATTCTACAAGATATTGTTGGCTATCTTTAGTCACAAAGAGCAAACAAGCATTAGCGTGTCTCTGTTGGTAGGTAAATGACAGTCGCTTGATCTTCATATTCAAGGGCAATTACTATTCAAATCTATAATCAACACAGACTACACCAATACATCAATGGCTATTTCTGTACTCGGGGGGGGGGGGAGGGGGAATGGTTAGCACGTGTGCGCTATATCATAAGGTCTGTCACTGAGTCAACTAGTGTGGTTTCGATTCCCCCGTTGTACGTGACAAGGATTACTGTCGCCTGTCCAAGCGAATTATTGAAATGACCCTCTCTCTCTCTCTCTCTCTCTCTTTCTCTCTCTCTCTCTCTCTTTCTCTCTCTCTGTCTTTTAGCTAGCTAAACGTAAACTTTTTTTAAAATAATGCAATGTTGTTATTTTTATGTAAAATGTTGTACTGTTTAAAAACAGAATAATAATAATAATAATAATAGTAATAATAATAATAATAATTCATTATTACTTTTATAGCTCCACAATCAACAGTTACCACGTATCCAGACACAACTTCAAATCTGGAATCAAGGTACGCTCCACCTTCTTACGATTCTGCTGTTTCAGCTTATCCCCCTCAACCGATGCCTAACTCTACGTACCCACCACAGCCTGTATATCCACCAGCGGAAACAAAGTAAACGTTATTGAGCCGTCCAATCATAAAAAACGACCTTACAATCAGCTATGAAAAAACTATAAAACGGATGAGGAATTTGAACGAGAATGTGTATAATTCCTCAAACATACTTTATGCAAGAGCTAAATCTGCCTATAGCAGGTCTTTCTTTAGGCCTGAAATGTTATCTAAATTATTAATTAGACATTAATTAACTTAGCCAGACCATAATCAACTCCCGATGCCATCGGATATCTCCGATATTCAGTCTTAGCTTCGAACAACCAGTACGGTGGTTGCAATTTGTGCACACGTCTTGTCAAACCTTCAAAGGATAATAACGTCGCTGGCAATAGAGTAATTTGAATAAAATTTTCAAATTATTTATTTTACATTATCTATTTTTGAACTATTATAGCAAGAATGGCTAGCTCTTTATCTAAATCATACACAATGTATCTTTAACATGAAAATGACAAATAGGCCATTCCCGTGCTGTAGAATTACATATCTTTAGTTGTAGCAGCAAACGGCCCAAAAGTAGTGAACATAATTATGATGGCACATTCGGTAAAGGATAGTGAAGCACATTTTTATTCTAGCAGATATTACTATAATGCTGGACAATAATCCCTATGTGGCATTTAGTCTGACTAAAATACAGATTTATATTTCGTTCTGTTTTTCTACTTTCGATGGTCTACACTACATGAAGATCTAATCAGTTGTACGAGGGGTTTTTGACCATATGAGTCAGACATTGGATTAATCAATCAGCGTTGACGTTTCTAGTGGTTTACCCACAGTTCCGTGCATGGCATGTCAAAAAGTCGTCGTAACAAATGGTTTCATTGGCTAATCCCTCACGCCATCCAGAACGCCTGTTATATAACAACTCTTCCAGATCCTAGTGTAGTACAGACAGATGAAACGAAATTTTGAACTATAAAAAACCGAACCGAAACAAGATCTATATTTTCATCAGATTAAGTGACATTGAGCGACTGAGCACAATATAAAAAACACAACAAAAGTTATACGGATAACGATCACTGGTTTGTACTCATATATTACGACTTTTCGGCAAGTTTCTCTTATAGTTATCAAGAACAAACGATTTTTGTTTGTTTACCATATAAATTGTGTTGTTTTGTTTTATCATTGGGGTCAACAAGATACAGATTCTAAAATTGTCTACACTGAAATATTATTTATTTTCCATTAATTCTTCCATCTCTTTATATAGCGAAATAATTTAACATATCCTCATTCGTAAAGCTGAGTTTAAGGAATGCAATAGGCTGATTTTTATATAATCGGTATTGTTTGTGATATTTGAATGTATATTCATTGTTTTGACTGGAAACTCACAAAAGAATGAAACTGAAATGAAACGGTGTTTAACGTCCTTACTATTCTGCTTCTGCTGGGCCAGTGAAGGCGGGTATACACCATACATTGTGCTATGCGGGAAATTTTGTCCGGGCAGCGGCTTTATGGCCTACATATCGAATTCAAACTGCTATGGGATATTTTACATGCACGCCAGTGTATACACGGGTCCTCGGTTTTTCCGACTTGACAGCTGTTCTTGTCCGGCCCCGTCCTGCACCACTGACAAGGGGAAACCACGCCGGAAAATACCGATAAACTTTCTCGGCCAATACAGGGATCGAACACGCGACCTCCAGGGTAGCAAGTCAGCGTTTTACCCACTTAGCCACCGTGGCTCCGAGTAGATGTTTAAAAGAAAGCGTTAGGGCTTCCATTAATTCTATTGGATTTATGAAGAAAAATAAAAATATGTTTTTATTATTATTTGCTATATCTAAACATTATATATTAAAGAATTAATTTTGTGTATGATCATTAACCACAATACGTTGAATATTGACACAGGCGCTGGTCCAGGGGGTGGGGGGCACCCGGCGCCGAACAATTTTTTGCCCCATATATTCTCGCGGGAAAGGAGAACAAAAATAATTAAAAATGGTAGCGATCCCCGTCGTAATTTACTCCGAAACGAGCCGGTTGGTGACTTGGTTGATTGTCCGTCAGTCCGCCCTTCCGAGGGCCGGGCTTCGCACTCCCAAGTGGGGGCAGCACGCCCCCGCCCCCTTTTCTGAAAATCCTGGATCCGCCCCTGTGACACATTGTATATATTCCATGAAAATGCACTGTTTTCACAACCGTATTTATTAACCATAATACGTTGTATATATTAACATATTGTATATATTCCATGAAAATGCACTGTTTTCACAACCGTATTTATTAACCATAATACGTTGTATATATTAACATATTGTATATATTCCATGAAAATGAATTGTTTTCACATGAATAAAAACGTTTTTCAATTTGTTATCTCTGTAACGGATTTAAAATTTGTTGGCATAAAAGCGGTGGACACACTAGTCGAATGATTAGGCCGAATCATTCGGTCGAATCAATCGGCGTCGACATTCGCCTAGTGTGCCCACTTTCATTCGGTCGAATGATTCACCTAGTGCGTCCGCTTCGCCGAAGCATTCGCCCGAATGTAAAATGCATTAGCCAATCACCACTCATCATCCACTCATATCGAGAAATCACGTGATTGTTTGAAGACATGGTCGCCGCCATGTTTAATCATGTGATGCAATCTACTGGTGAATCGGCCGAAGCCTTCGCCCAGGGCGTCCGATTGATTCAACCATCCTGCTTTCTCGCTTTACTGATCATTTTCTTAGCGAGATAAGCCCATGAGATAAGGCAACCCAACCTTTGTCAAGTAAGATTTAGATAAAGAGCAGGTCATTCTTGCTATAATACAAGTAGTTCAAAAATAGATAATGAAAGTTACTTTATTCTGAACGACGTGTTGAGCGTTTGTAGTTTGGACAAGATGTAGCAACGGTACTTAATGAAGTTGCATAAGTTTTGGACCATTTATTACATAGACAAATATTTTAGTATTTGATAAAATAAAGGACATCATTCTGGAAAGAGACTGCCTCGTGAACGACACCTTCACAACTTTGCAACCAATGTTTGGAATGGAAATGTAGCATACATTTCTAGAATAAAGGCAAGGCATACATTCAAAGAGAACGGGGGGGGGGGGGCAAATACACAATGTCTCCAAAATACATTTGATTAAATAATCGTTCTAAAACGAACTAAAGATATCACAAATGAGGATGTCTGATCAGTGGATTCACTTAAAAAATGCTCTTTCGGCTTGTATTTTGATACTGGCAAATGTCGAAATTCAAACTTGAATCTCCAATCGAAGCCACACCAAGTTACTCAATGATAGACCTTGTGATCCAACGCGCACGCGTTAACTATTCACCCACTCCACACCAACATGAATATATGTATTCATAGAATACAAGAGTCACAAAACTTAATAATGATAGTCATCAATACGACAATCTAGAAATATTCAATATGTTCATTTTTTATTATCTATTTTTTGAACTATTATAGCAAGGACGGTTAGCTCTTTATCTAAATTTTACATAATGTATCTTTAATGATAATAGTTGTCAATATGACATGAAATGAAATGGGTTTAACGCTCCTAAACTGGGCTAATGAAGACGGGCATACGCCATACAGTTTGCTATGAGGGAAGTTTTGCCCGGACAGCGGCGCTACGGCCTACTCTTATATCGAATTCCAACTGTCAAGGGATCTTTTACGTGCGCGCCAATGTGTATACACGCGACCTCGGTTTTTCGTCCCATCCGAACGACTAGACAACTGTCCTTGTCAGGCTCTCCGTCCCGCATCACTGACAAGGGAGAACCACGCCGGACAATCTGGTTGAACTTTCTCGGTCAATGCAGGGATCGAACACCCGACTTCCACGCTAGCGAGCCAGCGTCCTGCCCACTCAGCCACCGTGATCCCCATCAATAAGACAATCTATAAATATCTATAAGTAAATTACCTGAGACCATCTAATGTTCGGGCGTAATATGTTTGTATAGTTTTAGGTTTCTGATCTGTTTTAAGAATTATCTTTCCACCAGTATCTGTCTGATAAATGGTAAATAAATGGTAAAAAAAATAATTCGTTTTTTAAATTGCTTTAATGGCATTAGTTCAGCTCTGAACATAGGTCTCATTACACTCGCCCTGTACGTTCAGGAACTCTCCTATTGAATCCATGTCGAAAACCTAATGGCTTCCCAGTCAATTTTACTGGGCAAAGTTTTACTGGGAAGCCATTAGATTTTCGACAAGGATTCAATAGGAGGGTTCCTGAACGTACAGGGCGAGTGTAATGAGACCTATGTTCAGAGCTGAACTATAATGGCATGTGATCATTGATTGGCTTTTATCAATAGAGCACAATAAAAAAACACAACCCAATTTATATGGACAACAAGCGCTGGTTTATACACATATAGCACGACGTTTCGACAAATGCTCTCTTATCGTTATCAAAGCACAAATTTATATAAATTGTTATATAAATTTTTTATGCTTTAATAGCATTTAATACTTTAATAGCATTTAATACTTGAACCTAGAAACAGGACACAATTCTATAGTTTCTTTCTTGATAAAGACTAGCAATTTCTAGTCGAACAATCACACATTAAATTAAACATGCATTATGCAAGAGCTAAAACAGCCTATTTCAGGCCTTTCTTTAGGCCTGAAATGTTATCTAAATTATTAATTCGACATTAATTAACTTATCCAGACCATATTCAACTCTCGATGTTATCGCTAGCCTGCGATGTTTACTGGATTAGGATCCGATTAGCTGCTCAACTTTCATTCATGATTTAGTCATGAAATGGATAATCGAGACTATGTTTTTTTATCTAATCTAACATAATGAATCTTTAAGAAACAGTAATTGTATTCCATAGAATATCCAGTGAAACGTTTATACACGATGGCAATAACAGCAAATCTTACACAGACTCCGCTACTCATCAATTTCGGGACATTACGGTATATCAGGCATATTTTCTGGTATTTAAAGATGGGTTCCAAGAAAAGTATTTATCGGGTGGTTATTTCCAATAAAAGTATGGTAATTTTGGTATATATGGAAAGTAAACATGACGTAAACATGACGTGGTTATCGAATTTTTATAGCAGGGCATTCCTTCGCAATTACAATGTTTAAGAAGGATTTGAAGCAAAATTATGACAAATTAATTAGTTTGAATATGATTTTAGTCCATATATACCATTAAATCACAAAGTTTGTACGCGGGAACCCATCTTTAATGGAGCCTTATATTATGATTCTTGATACAAGAATATTGTTCTTAATGAGGGTTCTCCGTGGGATTTATCTCCCCTTGATAATAGGTGGCGCACGACACATTGCAGGCCCGTCCTGCGGCGCATGGTGGAGTTGAAGTACGGAGAATGGAATCTTTTGTCCTTGAAAAAAAGAGCTGAAGCTAAGAGGTGCACGTAATTCATAATGGGCGAGGTTTATTAAAACAATCTCTAACATCAATTACCCAACGTATTCAAACGAATCACAAAAAAGGTGTATTTTTAAATATTTTAATTTTACATAATTAGCAATACTTACAAATTGTCTTTCCCATGTGAACTTGGGCATAGGCTTTTGCTGAATAAAATACAGATCATAAGAAATCATTATTTGTATTGGTATGCCACTGTCATCTCGTGACAGTGGTTACAGACGGTCGTTCAGTTTTTGAGTTCCACTTTCTTGAACTTCAATATTCTGATTTTGCTATGCGGACTTCACGTTGTGTTTTGAAGATACCGTTCGTCTTCTGTCATAAATATAACTATAGAGATCCGTATTGTTCTAAACTAGGTTTATGTAACATCTAGCAAAGCAATACATAACCATTATACAGTACAACGTCAACAATATGTATGGGCATTTCAAGCGCTAACCGGATACACGGTGTAGAACGGAGGACCCGCCAGAGTCTATTCTTGCAAGAAACCTACATGCCGACTATAAGAACTCTGAATGATGTCCTAAAAAATCTAAGCCCAACCCTGTCCTTTAAACAAGAGAACGCCCGAAGAATTGGTTGCTGTTATACTACATATAAGGTGTACTTAGAGTATACGGTATATTATCAATTCAAGTGTCGTGGTCTTTGCCCACGTGGCTTATCTTCGGGGTCCCTGCCACTGCTACAGAAACCCAAGCACAAGTCAAATATTGAAATACATATAAGTCCCGAAATGTCGTTAAACGGTAAAGCGTTTGGTTTATGATAGAGATTTCACTATAGTATATAAAAATGGATATGATAATGTTACAATTACATGTACAACAGGTACCGGGATAAGGGGGGGGGGGGGTAATGTGATACTATGCTTACCATGATGGTGCTGAGGTTAAACGCCCCGACACCAAAAATGGATATCCTAGGGGTGGGGGTGGTAATGTGATACTATGCTTACCATGATGGCGCTGAGGTAAAACGCCCTGACACCAAAAAATAGTTGAATACGGTGAGTTGTCAAACTATGTTCAGCATTGGGTAGAACTCTGGAACAAATGAAACCGATAATAGTTTGTAATACGGTTATCCACAAAAACCTCATATTAATATTGTTCCCTATTATACCTGCTGAGAGTCTGGTAAAGTTATACATAACACTGACCCCTGCCTTAGATATGATTCACTCAACAGTGTAAATCAATATGATAAGATCGACCCCTATATTAGACATGCTTCATATACTAAGGCACCAAGATAATAATAAGAATGACCCTTACCTGGAAATGTATCCAAGTAATAATAAGATTGATCCCTACTTGGTAATGTACCCCAGAGATTATAAGATTGACCCCTATCTGGTAATGCAACCCATAATAAACAGATTGCCAACCCCCTGGCCCATTTTCTTAGATATGATTCCCCTGGCAATATACCCCAGTAATAATAAGATTGACCCCTTACATTAGATATGCTTCAGCTGGTAATGAACCCCAGTAATAATAAGATTGACCCCTTACCTTAGATATGCTTCAGCTGGTAATGAACCCCAGTAATAATAAGATTGGCCCCCTACCTTAGGTATGATTCACCTGGTAATGTACCCCAGTTATAATAAGATTGGCCCCCTACCTTAGATATGATTCACCTGGCAAATGACCCTAGGGATAATAAGATTGACCCCTGACCCTTACCTTAGATATGATTCACCTGGTAATGTACCCCAGTAATAATAAGAATCATCCGGTATAAAAAATTCGTCACCACCAGTTGTAATGATATATTTAGGCATGGTCAGACGATCTCTGTAGGCTAGAAATATATAACAAATTAATGTCGTAAAAAATATTGGAATTGCGTATTGTGGATAAAAATGCGAAACTGAATGAATGCAGCATAGGATAGTAGGAAGCTAAACCTAATTTCATTTCATTTGCATTTCGCTGTGCAAAGTACTTGCACACATTCTGTGCAATTTTACATTTGGCTGGCACCGGGATCACCTGGTGTCACCTGGTGTCCTTTTTAATCAAATTGATAATAAAATTAGCAAACTTTACATATACTATATAACTTACAGTAAGGGTCTATGATATCCGCCATGGCCTGTGTCTGTGGATTATCCAATTCGGCCGTGAAATTCAAGGAATAATAATCACTAAAGGCAAATGTCCATCCGCCCAATGATCGATAGTGATGATGTAGATTCTATAAAATATAAATACTGAATTAAATACCCTATTAAATACCGAAATAAATACCTTATTAAATACCCAATTAAATGCCCAAATAGATACTCAGCTAAATAACACAAATAAGTATTCATTACATACTCAGTTAAATAATCAATTAAATACCCAAATAAATACTCAAACAAATACTCAAATAAATACTCAAATACTCCTAGATACTCAAATACTTATCAAAAATCAACTAAGTACTGAAATAAATACTAAAATTCTCCTATATACTCAAATAAATACACATAAACTCAAATAAATCAGCACATCAATACTCATAAATACTCAAATAAATACGCAATTACTTAACTAAACACTCTTAAGTACTCAAATAAATACTCAAAATAAATACTGAAATAAATATACATAAATACTTAACTAAACACTCTTAAATACTCAAATAACTACTCAAATATTGTCAGCTAAATACTCAAATATATACTCAAATAAATACCCAAATTAAAAATCATAAATACTTAAATGAATACTCAGATAAGTACCAACATGAATACCCAAATAAATACCCAATTAATACCCAATTATGTACTAAACTAAATACCCACTTAATTAAATACCCAATCTAATACTCAATTAAATACCCCAAATAAATTATACACGGCAAAAACACAATAACAATTGGTGTGCTATAGGGTGAGATCATTAAAGTATCTAAGTCTCGAAGTCTAACTCAATATCACCCAAAATCTTCAACATTGAAAACACGAATTATTAGTCAATTTAAATCAACATTGATGCTGTGATCTTACCGAAAAAGATGGGCTTCTGATATCCAATATTTAAGACAAAATAAACATTTTACCATTGGTACACGAATCGTGTATCATAATGCATTTTAGCCCCAGTTGTAATAAGAGACTCGAGGAACGAGGCTAGACACATTGACCAAATCAAACGGCGTCGCCATATTCTTATCTGGAGACCATGTGCAATAAATACTATGTACACTGGAATAACCAGACGCTAGAAATTTGCATTCGATTGAGACTGCTGGCTTATTTCGCCGAACATAACTGATTTGAAATTAGAGTAAAAACGGAAACCATTGAATGTAAATCAGTTTATATACATTCATATTACATTATTATATGCGTTGCGACTCAATTGTGTCAATTTTTAGATCCCGAATGTTAGCGATTTAGCTCCTTTAAGTCAGAATCCCAGCAATGGATGAGAAGAATGTGCCCGGAGTATTATGGGGCTGGCTGACTATTTGACAATTCAAATGTGAGTGTGCTAATACATGTTCTCGGTATTCTGTACGACACGAGTATGCTTACACGTTTCTAAACACCAATAAAGTCTGAATTTAAAGAATATAACCTAAAATACCGCGTCTCCTGACCTTTAAGTCACTTTAAGATGCATTATGTACGAGTTGAGCTACCTTTCCTCTAGTTTCAAATGTTATAATAGTTATATAAAGTATTATTTAGACATTTATTCACAATCACGTCCTACGACGTATAATCAACTCTCTAGACATCGGATGGCAGAGATTTAAACGGATAAGAACGCCTGCGAGACAATTAATGATAAAATGGATAATCGTGACTTAATTTCGTTTCTCCAGTACTGTTGCTGCGACAATTAACAGTCTACGCTACATTTTCCAACATTCATAACGTCACTTAGAATAAAGTAATGTAATCTGAATGAAATTTTCAATATATTTATTTTACATTATCTATTTTTGAACTTTTATAGCAAGAACGGCCAGCTCTTTATCTACATATCCTACATAATGCACCGTTAATTAAAGGTGAGATATATTTATTTCTGTTTACCTTTCTGAGATTAAGAAGATCCATAACCATGGGTGCAATAGCTATAACTCTTTTATCAACAGCAGCTGTAGTCCATGTTGTCCAGCCTCTCTAAAAATACACGCCATTAGTAAATTATTCATATCTTTCGTGATGCTCAGCTAGTGTGTGAGCCACAGTGGTTCAATTAGTAAGGCACTGGCTCGCTAACCAGAGAGGCCAGGGCCTTTCCAGCGTGGATTCCCTTTGTCAGCGATGGAGGGCAGTGAGGATGGCAAGAAACGGTGTCTAGTAGTTCGGAAGGGGCGACAAACGATATCCAATGTACAGTGTTCACGTAAAAGAACCCTTAACAGTTGGAATTCAGACAACCGGTCACAATTTCCCTCATTGCAAACTGCGTGGCGTATGCCCGTTTTTCATCAGCCGGATAGATTTTTTTAAATAACTTAATATTAATTTATTTGATATATCCTTGCCTCCTATGGCCGGTGTTGGTCTCGTATCTACACAAGCTGTCCCTAGTGGCATGGATCAATGAGTATGACGCTTGCTCACTAGCCACTAGGTCCAGGATTCCGGAAATGGCCTACCTGGTTTTCCCCTGACAACTATCTGGCCAAGAAAAACGTCTAGCCGTTTTGATGGAATGAAAACCGAGTTCCACAAGTGTACTCGTGTATGTAAATGAACCATGACAGCTAAAAGTTTTAACACGGCGAGACTTACCTTAGACTCACCACATACTAGAAACTTGTTGATGTTGGATTGTGGATAAATAGTTTTGGTAAAGGCTGCTATGGTGTCCATTCCTCGTACGGCTGCCTGGAATAGATAAGTTAGACAATTAGAAATGGAATTAAATGGGTATATCTACAACCCTGTTCAATAAACACACACAAATACGAGTCAAACTTGATGGGCAGTTTAGGGCGGGATCCCTGAAAAAATCCACGAAAGCGTGGATCCAAGCCTTTTTGTAGGGGAGGGGTACAGTTCACAACTGGCATATTTGGATTTATTTGAAAATAGATACAACTTTAGATCTTCAAAAAAAAATCAACAGAAAAGGTCTATGTGCGCAGCTCCATATACTATAGTTTAAAGGGCAAGTGACTATTTGGACCAGGGACTTGGCGCCAAGCGCTCCTCATCTTGTTGTTCTTGTTCTTTTTGGGGCGACGCTCTTCGAAAAAAAACCTTAGGCTCCGCCAAGGCTTGATCCTTGGTCGATAACGCATTGATTGGCGGAACTCCTATTTTTTTTATATGATTCTAAGATGGCTGCTATGATGTCGTACTGGGTGGGTGCCTGGTCCATAGTACGCTTGTGCTAGTGACCCAGTGCCAAAACTCTGGTTCACACCCCCAACAACTTGGTATCATATATCTTTTTACTTGTAAGTGTCCAATGAAATGGCTATAAGCCTTTAACTGATCCATTTCTTGGGTTTAAAGTACCTTGGTCATGGGCAATCTTAGTAACCATTCTGGTCTGTTTGATTGTTCTAATACAAATGTTCTCCACGTCCATGCAATAATAGAATCTTCACTTCGACTCTTCTGACTTGGATCATTCTTGAAAAAGCAAACCATAAGTAAAAAATTATCGCATAACGTTTTATTGTAAATATGGTGAATGACCGGCAAGCATATCACGTCGAACAAAAACAGTAGGCTAACCTTTACGACGCTAATGCACCCTATACCCAAGGATCTAATCTTATCCCACTCGTTCGGAAGGTTTGAGAAAACCCAGAGCATTCCCAGTAAATATTGGCGTGCGCGTAAAAGACACTTGACAACTGGAAATTGGGGAAGGAAGCTCAAGAGTAGGCGGAAACCTCTACCTCGCATCAGCATATCCCGGTTGATGCTAAAGTGCCTTTAAATACAACTTCATGTCCTGCCTCGCATTGCATACATAACCGTAGAAACAAACATAACCATACGGTTCAGTTTCAATTCATTGGCTGGACAGGCGACCCTACTCTTTATCACGTATAATCGGGAAATCGAAACCACGCCACTTATCTCAATGACAGACCTTATGGTGCAACGCGCACGCATTAGACCGTTTCCCCACCCCACCCCCGTTTCGACGAGACATTAAACCTCGAATCATTTCATTGGTTTTAACAAGTATTTCAAGAAACCTTACCTTGAAGATGATTGGTTGATTGGGTATTTGGTGTAGATTAGCGCAGACTGTGCCCGTACTGGCAGCCATTAGGGCAATAAATGTAGAAAATTCATCCGCTACGTCAGGGGTAAAACTAGAAAATATTTAAGTTATCATTTTATTAAATGTAAATTAGGAGGCATGGCCATTCGATATATAAGACATAAGATTAAACCCGGTGTTGCGATTGGGAAAAGGGAAAATCCATTGCAGGCGAAATAGCATTGAGAAAATGGGCTAATTAGATACAATATATCTTGGGAACAGTTGTACAGCAAGAACATTTTTTTAAAAGACTCAACCATTCCAGTCGCAGAGCAAATCATTTACAGAGCATGATTTACACGATCTAGGATTAGGTCACTGTCAGATTACTGAAAGGGTATCTCATCTCCTTGTTCTTGTCTGCGATATCACTATAGTGGAAGCAACAATCTGTTTCATAGAGTATTACGAAAATCTTCTAATAGCTCTGTAAAAGATGACTGCCTTAAAAAAAAATGACGTCATATCACGCGGCGTCAATCATTGGCTCAATGACGCGTGCATTGTTTACAGATTCGAACAGAATAGCGCCTTTTACTCATTACTCATTTTAATACCTATTTACACTAAATAGGAAATAATTTTTACCTACAAATACTTCAAACGTCTTTATTTATTTTTCTAATACATAAAAAAAATGTTTTAGAATTTAATTTGTCGGAGAAAAATAAGTTAATATTTGTGACTCATTAAGTCACATCGATGTCATCCTTATCAGTGATTGTCGCGGCCTAGCGAATATTCACTGCGGATCAGTGTGTGGAAGCAGATGTTAAACTACAACTAGCTACAGACACGAAGCTAATTGACGGGCATGTTAATTTCTAAATCGACGATTTAAGTCGAAAGCACTAAGTATACTATTAGAATTTTCAGAAGAATTTATTCTGCTTCCATTTAATAAAATCGATAAATGTTTATTTAATCTTTGTGTGTTTGAAAGATGTAAAACGGATTAGAACCTATTACAAAATAGTGTATTGATTTTCTTAATATGGCGGCCATTCAGGACAGAGTTCTATTCCCGAAGTAGATGGTTCACTGTGTGCAGAATGTTGTTGTTATACTTACGATGGTCCATTACTACCATATGACATGTACATAAGACCATGTTCCGGATGAATTAATTTATCTGGTACAGCCACTACCATATAATGAAACCATATTGGACGATTGGATTCCTTTTCTGTAGATAAATAGAGTATGATTATTAGGACTGTCTGAAGTAAAAAGTCACAATAGTTACTGCAGCGCCGGAATACTTCTCCGCAACTTAAAGATACTTTATGGGAGATTAGATAAAAGAGCTGGCAGTTCTCACTATAATATACTATTCAAAAAAAGTAGGGGATATTTGATTTTGGGGGCATAATACTAAAATATGCAAATGACTACGAAAAAAGTCACTATAGAACCTAACAGAAGAAACATTTCCAGTTACATGTGACGCCCAAACGCACCAATAGCTACCGCATGGAATGCAGGTGATGCTTGGGATCATCATGGGGGTCCAACCCAAGATTTGCACGACTCTGACTTTGAATGTTACAGTCATTGTGGCATTGAATTCCAGGGTGGAAACATCAGTTTAATTGTTTTAGTGACCAGAAAACAAATTTTGATATGCGTCGGCTTACCCAAAATGAAAGGTTACGTGCCCTTGGCATGCTACAGATCGGCACAACACAGGCGGTTGTGGCGCCGACGATGAATGTTTCTCAGTCTGTCATAAGCAGGCTGTGGTCCAGATACCGTGATACACAATCTGTACAGGACAGACCACGCTCAGGTCGACCAAGGGCGACAACTCAAGCCCAGGATCGATTTATCCGTACCTTGGCCTTGAGAAATCGTGTCATCACAGCAAATCAGATCAGCGCTCGTCTTCAAACAGACACTGGTGTGAGAGTGAGTGGCCAGACGATTCGGAATCGACTGCATATTGGTCACCTTCGCGCCCGACGTCCTCGCGTGATCCCTTGTTTGAGAGATCATCACATTCAGGCAAGACGTCGTTGGTGTAGGGATCGTCAACACTGGGATAATCGACGCTGGAGCAATGTGATGTTTTCAGATGAGTCAAGGTTCACTGTTGATTTTTTGGACAGACGTAGGAGGGTGTGGCGTCGTCGAAACGAGCGCTTCCAAAACGTTAACGTCATCAGACATGATCGATTTGGGGGTGGTTCTGTTATGGTGTGGGGAGGCATCACTGTTGCTGGAAGAACGGCTTTACATGTTGTTGCAGGGCGTGTTACAGGCCAGTACTACCGGGACAACATCTTGGCAGTCCATGTTGTGCCGTTCGCACGACGTCATGGCCGCCGTTTCATCTTCCAGGATGACAACGCAAGATGTCACAGGGCCAGGATCGTTACAGGTTACCTCCAACAACAGAACATCACCACATTACCTTGGCCAGCACTGAGTCCCGACCTCTCCCCCATCGAGCATGTCTGGGACATGCTTGGACAGAGGTTACGTCAACGTCAACAACGTCCTGCCAATGTCCAAGAACTTGCTGCTGCGTTGCAACAGGAATGGGACAGTCTGGACCAAAATGACCTTAGACGTCTCATTAGGAGTATGCCACGTCGGATCAATGCTTGTTTGGCAAACAGAGGAGGATTTACCCGTTACTGACTTGGTTGTGATGCTGTGGTAATTTTGCTGTTTGACCCCGGGTATCATTTTACCCTTATAATGGTCAGTCTGTGCCTTACTTAGTCTAACGATCATTTGGAATAAATCGATGAATGTGAACTTCATTTCATTTTGTCATTTGTTTCTTCGTCAGTTTCATTAGGTGACTTTAATAACACTTAAAAATCAAATATCCCCTACTTTTTTTGAATAGTATAGTTAAAAACTAGATAATGTAAAGTAGGCCGTAGTGCCGCTGTCCGGGCAAAATTTCCCTCATAGCACACTGTATGGCGCATGTCCGTCTTCATTAGCCTAGTCGGAGCAGAACAGTAGGACGTTAAACCCCATTTCATTTCATTTCATTTCATTTGATATCCGCTTTAGCTCAGTGTCTTGTGTATGAGACTCGCACTCGAGTGAAACATCATGGGTGATAGATCTATTGGGATACCCCTATTCATCTTGTTTCATAACTGTGCCCGCAGCCGATCAATTTATGTATTTTAGTTTAACGGTTAGAGGGAGGCAACTCTCTTTATTAAAAAGGATGATGTAAGCAAGCGGGAAGCGTGCAAAAGAAAGATGGCGAAGTAAACAGCGGTCTCAAACTATTTGAAACCGTTGTCAACGGTATTAACGTTAAAGTTTTCCTATAGATGCTCAATGCTTATGTCACACGGTTAACGGATATTGAGTGTCGATGGCGAACTGTATAAGCTGCTAGTTTAAGGTCTCAATTCGTCGTGTCTATGTGAAAGGCTAACGGTAAACAAGACATCGGCTATTGAGTATTGGTAACGGCATGGCTGCAGTTTCAAGTTAAAGGGACGGTGACGCGTTTCAATACCGCTATGTACAAGGTTTAAGGTTTACTTATAAATCCTATGGTGGACAGAATAAAGAAATTTTATGGTTTAAATGTATTTACTTTATCGAGTTTACGGCCACCATATTAGTTTCAAATAGTAAAAATTATTGACTTCTCGCCATACATACGTATTGTCAAATGGTTGAAATAGAATAGCCGCTCATATAGACTGAATGAACGTTGTAAAACTGTTTCGTTTAATGGTTATTAAGTGACTTTCCATAGATTAAAGTGCATGACACGTCCTATAGTGTTTTGATAGTTTGTCTACAGTCAATTGTCGACAGTTTATCAACTTGGATTCACGTAAAGACTTGATAATAGAACTTCGTAATAACAATAATGAAGATACGGTAGCAGAACGGGATAGCGATGATGATAGTACTTTACACACCAGTTCAAATAAATCAAGGCACACGAAGAAAAGTCACAAAAGTTCAAATTCGTCTAGTTCGTCAAGATATTCAAGTTCTATGATCCGAGCAAGGGAAAAGGCCAAAGTTGCAGAACTGCTGACTGAACAGGCGATGTTGTCTAAAACTCAACAAATTCAGAAATTAGAACTTGAAGTGAAAATCGCTAAAGCTCAAGCCAGAGAGAAGGCTTTCCGTGAAATCGTTGATGAAGATAATGTAAACAGATTGTCAAACGAATATATTGTTCTTTCAGAAGTCAACGGATCCTCAAGTAACAGTGATCATTCTAGTACGGTAAAACCAAGTGATCTTCCACATACAGCCATACCGCCATTGATACATGTAAATGATAAACAAACAAGTGCAAGTAATTTAAATCAACCCATCTCGAGTACACCGCTTATTTATCGTCAACTTCGAGAGCAAACCCTGCCTAACTGCACAAAGAATACCACACCGCAAGGTCAACGTCTTAACCCCACAGCCAATGAATTTCAACCGACAAACACTGAATGTTTGGATTCAACACAGTTACAGACAAGGTCAAACGAAAATCAGAATGCTACAAGCTCTAATATTCAACACGATGTGGTTTTGATGCATAGACAATTAATGGCTGCAATGACATTACCTCAACCGGAAGTAAATAAGTTTAAAGGCGACCCGATAGAATACACGCCATTCATTAAAGCCTTCAACGCAAGGATTCGGTCTAAAGTCTCCAACAGTGCCGATTGTCTCTATTATCTTGAACAGCACTTAGAAGGAGAGCCTAGACATTTAATCGACGGATGTTTACATCTAGATCCCGAAGAAGGATTTGAAGAAGCGTTACAACTTTTGGATCAAGAATATGGCGACCCATACAAGCTTTCAATATCGTACACAGACAAAGTTCTTAATTGGTCCTTAGTTAAAGAAGATTCGTCAGCATTAAAGAAATTTTCTCTGTTTCTCATCAAGTGTAGAAACGCCATGAGTAGTTTATCTTATATGTTAGTCTTGAATCACCCACCAAATATGCAGTGCATTGTACAGAAACTCCCATACAGTCTTCAAGCAAGATGGAGAGAACGTGTTGTCCGAATGCGAAAGGTTGAAATGAAAACTGCATTATTCACTGACCTGGTAGACTTTATAAAGGATGCTGCAGAAGCTGCAAACGATCCCATATACGGTAAAGACGCTTTGGTGAAATCGAGTTCAACGAACAGTCAAGCTACTAAACCACATTATCAGCATAAAGATTTACACGGACATGGTAGGAAACCGTTTATACCCAAACAGAAAAGCTTTGCTACAAATACGAGTTCAGTATCGTCGAATTCCGGGTGCTCAAACGGGACCGGGTACAAAAATCAGTTATCAGAAGTTGGACTAAGCTGTAAACTTTGTAAGGGCGCTCATGGTTTAGATAATTGCCCAACCTTTGCGAAGAAAACAATGGAAGATAAGAAGACTTTCTTGGTAAACAATAGACTCTGCTTTAGTTGCTTCGGAACAAATCACATGGCTAAGGGATGTTTACAAAGGGCCACATGCAGTAAATGTCAAAAGAAACATCCAACAACTTTACATATTGATGGATTCAGTCTTCAAATGGTTGATAATCATCTTGAATCGTCTAAGGCTAGTGAAAATACAGCTAACTTGATATCAGATGTTATTCCTAAAACAGTGTGCAATGTAACCAGATCAGTAAACTCTATTATTTTACAACCCATCCTTCCAGTACGTTTACAGTGGAAAGATAAAATGGTTATTACGCTTGCCTTTTATGATAATGGCAGCAGCGGTTGTTTTCTACTAAAAGACACCCAGACGAAATTAAATGCCAAAGGAGTCTCAACGAAAGTACAACTGGGCACCATGCATGGTCAAGACATGTTAGACTCAGAAATGATAAATAACCTGTTGGTGCTTGACATCGATGGCAATAATGGAATAGAATTACCTAAAACGTACACAGTAGGTGAAATACCCGTCACACTCTCACAGGTTCCTACACCAGAAATCGTTAGTAAATGGGAACACCTTCAAGATATAGCAAAGAAAATCCCTCAACTTATTCAAGGATGCGACATTGGGCTTCTCATCGGTAGTAATTGTCCCGTAGCTCTAGGGCCGTTAGAAGTAAAACCTAGTGAAGGAAATGGACCATTTGCTATGCGCTTGCCTCATGGTTGGACCGTGTGTGGGCCAGTTGCCGTAGAAGAATCTTTGTCAACAAACGAAGTCTCAGTAAATCGCATAACTGTTAGAGAAGTAGAAAGGTTCAAGGAAATATTCTCACCGCAAACAGTTCTTGAAATGTTCGAAAGAGACTTTAACGAGGATCCGATCAATCAAAACTCAGAAGAATATGGTTTGTCTCAAGACGACAGGAAGTTTATAGAAATTGTCAATGATGGTATAACTAACGTAAACGGCCACTATCAGATCCCACTTCCTTTTCGTAAAGAGCATATTCTCTTCCCAGATAACCGACTTCAAGCTGTTAAACGCTGTGAATGGCAGAAGAAAAAGATGTCAAGCGATTCTCAGTATTATGAACATTATAAACGTTTTATTCAAGACAATATCGATAAGGGTTTTATCGAGAAAGTTCCTAAAATGCCTCACCGGAACCAGGACATTCGTGGTATCTTCCTCATCATGGGGTCTACCACCCTCGTAAATTAGACAAGATACGAGTCGTGTTCGATTGTAGCGCGCAGTACCAAGGTATCTCTTTGAATAATCAGCTACTACAGGGCCCAAACCTGACAAACTCATTGATTGGTGTATTAACTCGATTTCGGGACGAACGTATCGCATTCATGGGAGACATCGAATCAATGTTCCATCAGGTAATGGTCCCACCTCGCCATCGAGACTTTCTACGACTTCTATGGTGGAAGGACGGCGACATTGATAACGACTTAGAGGAGTTCCGTATGTGTGTACATCTGTTTGGAGCTGCCTCATCCCCCAGCTGCTCAAACTTCGCATTAAAGAAGACTGCGGATGAATCAGAAGAAGAGTTTGGTAAAACTGTCGCAAATGTTATTCGTAATAACTTTTATGTAGACGATTGCCTCAAAAGTGTCAAGACTCCAGAAATCGCTAAAGACTTAATACGAAGGTTACAAGGTGCATGCCTTAAAGGCGGATTTAGGTTGACCAAGTTCATCTGTTCTGATAAAGAGGTTCTTGAATCTATTCCAGAGGACGAAAGGGCTAAGGAAGTTCGGGAGTTGGATTTGAATTTAGACCTACCAGTAGAACGAGCACTTGGCGTAAAATGGGTTGTTTCATCGGACACTTTTGGTTTCACAATCACCTTAAAGGACAGACCTTTAACTCGCAGAGGTATCTTATCCATGGTAACGTCAATCTATGACCCACTCGGATTTGTTTCCCCGGTAACGTTAACAGCCAAACGAATATTACAGGATTTATGCCGCCTTGATCTTGATTGGGATGACGCTATACCAGTGGAGTATCAACGACAATGGTTAAACTGGAAAGATAATCTTCTGGCTTTAGAGAAGATAGAGATTCAACGATGTGTTAAACAGGTTGAATTTGTACCTATACTATCAAAGCAAGTTCATGTATTTTCGGATGCAAGTTCTACAGCGTATGGAGCGGTTGCTTATCTTCGACTCAAGGATAATAACGATCGAATACACTGTTCATTTTTACTAGGTAAAAGTAGACTCGCACCCATAAAGACAGTTACTATACCGAGACTCGAACTAACGGCCGCTACAGTATCAACACGCATTGGCCAACTGTTGTTAAATGAGTTGACTGATAAACCGGATTCTGTCCTTTATCACACAGACTCAACTACTGGCTTAAGATACATTCATAATGACCAACGACGATTCAAAATCTTTGTTGCGAACAGAGTTCAAACGATTCGTAACTGCTCAGAACCATCCCAATGGCTGTATATCGACACTAAAAGTAATCCAGCTGATGACGCCTCACGTGGTTTAACAAGCTTAACATTCCTACAGTCAAACAGATGGCTTAAAGGTCCCGAATTCTTATGGAAGCCAGAAGAGGAATGGATCAAACAACCAGTGTTACCTGGACTAATTCCCTCATCAGATCCTGAAGTAAAGGATGAAGTTTCTAATTGTGTAACGAACGTAACTTGTTCTGATAATAATCCTGTGAAGTTGTTTATTGAACACTATTCAGATTGGCACAGATTAAAACGTGCTGTTGTTATATTTTTACGGTTTAAATCAATTCTACTGCGTTTGAGTAAGGACAGAAAAGATCATAATCATTTAAATAGATCAGAAGAAGCCTTTATGACTGAACGGAGGAAATCCTCATTCAGATCCTTAAACTTACCCATAACTGTATTAGAAATGGAGAAAGCAGAAAGTAGTATTTTTAAGTACGTTCACGAACATCAATACGCTGAAGAACTTAAAGTTCTTAGATCAATAGACTTCAATCAGAATAATCGTCGCCAACAGTTTAAGTGCAAAAAGTTGTTAACGAAGAATTTGTCAAATTTATGGAAGCTCGATCCAGTTATCGATAATGGTGTTCTCCGCGTCGGTGGACGGTTAGACAGAGCCGACGTCTCGGAATCCTTAAAGCACCCTGTAATCGTTCCCAGAAAGGGTCACTTAACAGAACTCATCATTCGCCATGCTCATCAACGACTTGCTCATGCAGGAAGAGGTCATGTTCTAGCATCGCTACGAGAAAAGTATTGGATAATAGGAGCCAACGCCGCAGTACGCCAGGTGATAACTAAATGTGTTCCCTGTCGACGCAACCGAGCTAAACCAAACATACAGAAAATGGCGGATTTGCCAGCCGAAAGAGTCAACCCCTCACCACCGTTTACCTACGTGGGATTAGATTATTTCGGACCGTTCTATATTAAGGATGGACGACGTGAACTTAAACGTTACGGAGCTATTTTCACTTGTCTAGCTAGCAGAAGTATTCACATCGAAGTTTCGAACTCTTTGGAAACGGATTCATTCATACAAGCTCTTCAACGTTTCATAGCCCGAAGAGGACCCGTTAGACAGATACGAAGTGATAATGGATCCAACTTCATTGGTGCCGAAAAGGAGCTTCGTCAGGCATTAGATGAAATGGACAAGGATAAAGTTAGAAATAAATTACTGCATTTCAACGTTGATTGGATATTCAACCCCCCAACCGCAAGCCACATGGGAGGAATTTGGGAGCGCCAAATTCGCTCAATTAGAAAGGTCTTCAATTTTCTCCTCAAGGAACATGGAAGATGTCTAGATGATGAATCATTTAGAACTTTAATGTGCGAGGTCGAACAAATCTTAAACTCTAGACCTCTTACATTCTTTTCTTCTGATAAAGACGATTTAGATCCCTTAACGCCCAATCACATCTTAACTACTAAGACTCAAGTTGTTTTATCACCGCCTGGATGTTTTCAACGTGAAGATCTATATCTACGTCGCAGGTGGCGCAGAGTCCAGTATCTCGCCAATCTGTTTTGGACCCGATGGAAGAGGGAGTATATGATATGTTTACAGGAACGCAATAAATGATGTCATCCTCAACGTAATGTCCAGATTGATGATATTGTTCTTGTGTGTGATGACAGTCTCCCTAGAAACGAATGGATAATGGGAAGAATCGTTTCAACAGAAACTGATAATAAAGGACTAGTTAGAGCTGCTAAAATTAGAACGTCAACCACTCAACTACGCCGACCTATTGCTAAATTGGTTCTACTACTTGAGAAGGAAGATGGTGATTAACGTGTTAAAGTGACTTTTAAGTGATTTAATGTTTAATAGTATTTAAATGACTTTAATGGTATTACGGTTTAACGTGGACAATTTTTAATGTGTTTAAACGGCTGCAGTTATTAAGACTGAATATTAGTTTGTAAATTGATTTCCTAATTTAGGGACCGGTTATGTGCCCGCAGCCGATCAATTTATGTATTTTAGTTTAACGGTTAGAGGGAGGCAACTCTCTTTATTAAAAAGGATGATGTAAGCAAGCGGGAAGCGTGCAAAAGAAAGATGGCGAAGTAAACAGCGGTCTCAAACTATTTGAAACCGTTGTCAACGGTATTAACGTTAAAGTTTTCCTATAGATGCTCAATGCTTATGTCACACGGTTAACGGATATTGAGTGTCGATGGCGAACTGTATAAGCTGCTAGTTTAAGGTCTCAATTCGTCGTGTCTATGTGAAAGGCTAACGGTAAACAAGACATCGGCTATTGAGTATTGGTAACGGCATGGCTGCAGTTTCAAGTTAAAGGGACGGTGACGCGTTTCAATACCGCTATGTACAAGGTTTAAGGTTTACTTATAAATCCTATGGTGGACAGAATAAAGAAATTTTATGGTTTAAATGTATTTACTTTATCGAGTTTACGGCCACCATAATAACAGCCGAGAATTGATTTATCTCGTTTCTTTCTGTTGATCCGACCTACTGTGTAATACTTTGCGGATTATGTATACAATTAATTTCACAAGTATCAAGGTTTATACAGGTATACAGGAGAAACCCCACGAGCTTGTCACGTACAACCGGGGAATTGTAACCACAGCAGTTGACTCAATGACAGATCTTATGATACAACCCGCCATTCGGCAAACCTCGACAGATTCTACGCATCTAATCTCGGCTGTATGACCATTTCCGCCATATTTGAACTATTTTAAAGGTTCCGAATGAAAAATGGCTGCCCCCATGGAGATTTCTGTGGAGAGTGTATTATATCAACAAACGTCACGTTTGGCATTGGGTTTGGGGAATTACCAGGGAATTTTATCAAACCAGCAGCCTTGAGACAATATCTCTGCTCATTTCGGTATATACACTCTACAAAAGACGCAATTTGGGACTTTTTTGTAAAAGCGACACGTTTTCCTGTTTAAAGTAAACCGGCAGCCGCATCGCAAATGTATGGGCGTAGGTACATATCACTTACTGTCATACAGCCGTAATTAGATGTAGGGTAACGGAATCTGTCGAGATTTGCCGAGTGACAACCCGCATGGGCTATCCATTCGGCCATCCAACCTCCCATCGCCAATCGGTGACTTTGCACCGTTTCCTTACCTGTCAGCCATTGCTGTGACGTATAATTCAATAAATATAGCGTTGCTCCGGCCGTTTTAAATGTCCATTCTAGTTTGGTCCAGTTATAATTAGGATCGGGTTTATTAACGTAATCATCTAATGGTGTCGAGTTGACTAGCAGGACAGATGATCCGAGAATCAACAGACCTAAACCAACCCAAGTGTTCATGGTCGAGAAAAATGGAGAGATACAATTTTATTTTTACTATCAAAAACTCCTGACACAGTTTATTATCTGCCAATATGTGATAACCTTATCGGTCGACCCCGTCCGTTATCCTCAAGGTCGGCGCTACCGCTTTTTCGTTTCGTTTACCTGACCGAAATCCGGACCGGAAGGAGCTTGCATGGGGGCTCTGGGTAAAAATGTCACCTGGACCCTTGTATCAACAGTGAAAGGGAGGAGGAGGGAGGGAGGCGGGGCACATTCTAGTCATTGTCCGCCACACTCACACGAAATCAAATTGTATGGCAGTGTGGTAGATAGACAGATAGATAGATAGATGTATTGACACATAAAATTATATGCTTTATGTACAAGTGCACAGATGGCATAACACAAAGATCAGTGAACAGTCCAATTTCCAGAATAATGTTAACAAGAACTAATGTGGGGTCCCCTTTAATCCGGTCCGAACCGGAATCTCTTGGGAGAGAGAGGCGGGGAATTTCATGCAACACATATGATAGACCTTTGTGTCAATAATTCGCTGGGGGTCTTTAAAACCTGATAAAACTCACTTACTCCTTATCAAGTACAAGTCTAAGAACAAAATCCCAACACATGACTCATTAATTGACCTTATGATCTACAGCGTCTAGCCCTACGGACGGTACCAAAAAACTACTTACAGTTGAAATCCGATGACGAATTTGAAATAAGAGTAAGACGTATAGCCCCGCTGTCTTATCAAATAGCCTCATTGCCCACTGCATGGTGTATACCCGTCTTAATTATCCCGGTTGGTGCAGAAACGTAAGAGGTTAAACCCCATCTCATTACATTACATAAGTTAGTATGTGTTTTAGTTGGTGCTGCACTGTCTAACTGTATCGGTCCGGCCCAGTTGGTGCTGCACTGTCTCGCTGTATCGGTCCGTCCCATTAACCCCGTCTTCATTAGCCCAGTTGGTGCAGAAAAGTTGGACATTAAACCCCATTTCACTTCAGTTCACGTCTCACCGACACTGTTCTAATGGTTGATAAGATACGAAAGCAAACAGATAAGAGAAGCGAATCGTAACCTTTGGCTAGCGAATTAAAGATGACAGATACAGAGCTATCATTTAAATAGAGGGTCACGGTGGCTAAGACGCTGGCTCGCTAGCCTGGAGGTCGGGTGTTCGATCCCTGCATTGGCCGAGAAAGTTCATCCAGATTTTCCGGCGTTATTCCCGCTTGTCAGTAATGCAGGACGAAGGGCCTGACAAGGACAGCTGTCTAGTTGTTCGGATGGGACGAAAAACCGAGGTCCGGTATACACATTGGCGTACACGTAAAAGATCCCTTGACAGTTGGAATTCGATATAAGAGTAGGCCGCAGTGCCGCTGTCCGGGTAAAATTCACTCATAGCACACTGTGTGGCGTATGCCCGTCTTCATTAGCCCAGTTCGGACCAGAACAGTAGGACGTTGAACCCCATTTCATTTCATCATTTAAATATCATTTAAACAACAGGATTAACAGATTAAGATAGTTATTATTGATGTCAATTAATTATTTTAATAACCAATAAAATAAATGCAAACAGGTTTATAGATAATTGGAAATACGTTAGGATCAGGGGCCTGTTTCACGAAATTTTAACTAGGATAAAATCCAAATTTTAGTAATTTGATTGGATAATATTAGATTGATTTTAGTGCTTAGCCAATCAAAATTGAAGTATGTACTAAAATTTGGATTTTATCTTTAGTTAAAATTTCGTGAAACAGGGCCCTGAACAATAAAATAAATTAAAAAATATTGCGTAAAACAATACAAAAGTATTATATTATAACCGGAGCTACGATGGTTTCATGAGTATTGCGTTGATCCAATAACATCCACTGTCAGTGGTGTAGGGCCGATGGCCCGGGTCACGTGGGACAATTCTAAAACGTCATAGTAGACGATATTGTCTACCTAGCGAAAATAAGTGAGTATTGCCACTGGTTGACGGAGTCTAGAGTAGTGAACTTTGATCCCAATTATTTTAATCCAACCCGTTTCTCACCTTGGAATTATTGTATCTACTGAAAGAGAGTCGGTTTCAGACGAGTTATTTGCCCCTGGGTTAGAAATCGAAATCAGACCAGTTATTTGATAATCTCGCTTACGAACATGGACGTAAGAGCCTTTAGACATTATACTTAGTCATGACTTGATGTTATTTTTGAAATATTTTCCACGTTACAGACGCCTTTGGGGCGGACGGCCCGGACTCAGACAACTCGAAACATTATAATTGGAGTCACGGTGGCTTAATGCGTACGGCGCTTACCCAATAACACCCACTGTCAGTGGTGCAGGGCGGATGGTCCGGGCCCCGGCAAGGAAGCGCCTTTATAATTGGAGCCACGGAGGCTCGATGCTTAGGCCTATGGCGATTGTTCACTAACACCCCACGGTCAGTGGTGCAAGACGGAGGGCACAGCAAGCAAAATCTTGAGTTGTTTGTATAATATTATGACTGGATCAAGATGGCGTTCACCCAATAACACCCATTGTTGGTGGTGCAGGGCGGACAGCCTGGCAAGCAAAATTGTATAGTTGGAGGGGCTGGCAAGGAAAGGTTTCTTGTCATTCAGAGGGCACTGGCTGGCATGCACGTATAAGAATATTACAAAATGGTCGTATGAAAATACGTAAATTATTATACATGTAAGTAATAATGAATTAAAATGGGGTTTAACGTCCTACTGCTATGCTCCGACTTGGCTAATGAAGACGGGCATCAGTGTGCTATGAGGGAAATTTTGCCCGAACAGCTGCACTATGGCCTACTCTTATGTCAAATTACAACTGTCAGGCGTTCTTTTACGTGCACGTCAAAGTGTAAACGGGACTTGGCTTTTCTTTCCATCTGAACGACAAGACGTTGTCCCATGCCAACTGACAAGGGATACATGTAAATAAAATGATTATATATAAGCTTAAACATACATTATGCAAGAGGTAAATCTGCCTGTTGCAGGTCTTTCTTTATGTCTGAAATGTTATCTAAATTATTAATTAGACATTAATTAACTTATCCAGACCATAATCAACTCTAGATGGCATCGTTAGCCTGCCATCTTTAGTGGATTGTGAGTCGATTTACTGAATAACTTTCCTTCACGATTTAACGATTAAATTTGATAATCGAGACTATGCTGTTTATCGGAATGACTTTAGTAATGATGATCAAGGCTAGGCGGAAATTCCACCGCTTTGTTCTCGGTTCATAGTGGATCAATTTGAATGAAATTTTCAGCAAATTGCCTTTACATTATCTAGTTTTTAACTATTTATAGTGAGAACTGCCAACTCGTTATGGAATCTCCCATAATGTATCTTTAATGGATCACATAATTGCAACAAACAAAAAAGTTATATATTAGGCAAGTATATGAATTCGCAGGTCAAATAAAACACTATTTATGGATAACAATTACTATGATTGCGTAGGTCAACACACTCTCGGAGCAGAACAAAACGATACCCCCCCCCCCCCACCCCACACACACCACCAGCTCTGCAACACAATTTCCTCTTATAAAGCGGTTCCACGCTTTTCGTTTTGAAAGAACGCCGCTTTTCCCATCCGTTAAAGAACGTCACCTCTTTTTCTTTCGAAGTCGTGTACTTCCTTTAAAAAACAGTCCCGTGCTCCTCTGTGGAAGGGGGAGGGGCAAGAACACTACCAATAAACCCCATTTTCCCCAAACATCTCTAAAGTTTTCCATTGGATTAACATTGTAGTCACTTATTCCTAGCATTGCTTCGTGTGTGGTCTGTCCACAGGCGATAATAATCAACTGCCAAAAACTAAATCCACAGCAAATCAGGCCCATAACCAGCGACACGTACATGACGTATAATATCACCAACGTCATTAAATCGGGTATTTCTCCTTCATAATATGCACGTTCTATCAGTTTGTAGAGAAGGGTAAAAAACGTCTGGGGGCCGTAAAACTTGATGGAATGGAAACTTCCCAGATACTTGACACACATGATGACGGAGTAGAACGCGCCGATTGTCATATACGCACAAAACATAATAAAATGTTTTTGATTGTGATAACCAATACACACCGTCATAAAAAAGCAATGATGATCACGTTTTAAAATGCACACATCGCATAACTTACAATGATGTGAACGTTCTGGACATGGTAGTTTACACAAAGTACAACCTTTCGATCGGTTACTATTAAAATGACTGCTCCCTTCGGCAAGTCGTCGCGTGCTCGTGTCTGTCATTAAACACAGCAAGAAATGACCAAAAACATTTGTGAACAATATTATTATAACCAATTGATTTACCAATAACGACCAGGTATCACTTGAATAAAAATACGGTAGAATTAATGACCAACATAAACACGAAGCCATGCATGTTGATATTATGAAAAATGAACAAGCAATGATGTTGAATATGGCCATGCATCTTGTGTACATGGAAGTATGGCGGGATAGTATCCAGAAAGCCGACATTGTTATTTTGGACTAGTGGTTGTAGTCTATACATGTACACAAATAGATTCCGAATCATCAACAGCGGATTTTATACTTGTTTTTATTCGTTATCCTGCAGAAAAAGTCATTATAGATCTTACAATCACTAAAATCGTACCGTATGTCAATGTAAACACTCCACTCGTCAGATTTGCATAAAGCGTGCATAGTGACGGGAGCATACATTATATTCTCTGAATATAAGTCGAGCTAATCATTTTATATGGGCTACTAACTTAGTGCAGTGATGGATTGAAAAGGGTCCAGCAAGGTGGTAGGGTTTGGCGCCTGCAGCCCAGTCAGCCACAAGCCCTGCTGATAATTATCTCTCGGTTATTACTTTAGTGCCCTGTAAATGCCCCCTTTACCGATAAAAGAATTGCCTAAATATACTGAGCGCCATGGAAAAAGCATCACTTTGTTTTACGTATAACAAAATGATCCTGTAAACATATCTTATTTATTTTG